AGAGGGGGAAGGTGTTTCGATTCTTCGTGAGCACGGAAAGGTTTCCGCGAGACGTGTTGAACTTGGGACGGTTGCAATGTGCGGGCTTCCAGCATGGCCGTTTCTACTTAAAAATTAAATACCCAACTACTGGCTGGGGGAAAACTCTTGAAAAGTTGCCTTTGTTTACCAAAGCAGAAATGAAAAAGCACATAGAAAATTCTGGTAAAAGGATGGCAAGTGTTGACAACTATTCTGTTCCTACAAGTTTGAAACGTGCAAAGACTTTTCTGGAAGATGAATATTTAAAGGCTATTGAAGGAAATGATGATGGAAACTATTTTTACTTTAAGTGTAAGTGTAAGTGTTAGCACAGCTATAAAAAACATGAAGCTCCTCATACCATACAAGTTTCCCTCTGCATTATATCTGCACAAGTAATGCATGCCACTTGTACATGTGCTGCAGGAAAAGTTGGTTATTGTAATCACATACTAGCTCTCATGTTGAAAATATGTAAATACTCACTGAGAGCAAAACAAATGAAGATCTCGATGATGAATTAGATGAAAATCCTTCTCTGGCATGTACATCAACTTTGCAAACTTGGCATAAAAGAGGCAGAAGTGATTCAGTTTACCCCCAGCCAGTGATGGATTTAGTTGTAGCAAAAAGGAAGCTTGATGATGAGCAGTCTGGCAAGGCAATTTCTTGTCAACTTTATGAGGCCAGAAAACAAACAAAACTTGATATTACAGAGGAAGAGAAGTTCAGAAATGAGGTTGCAGCCATAAATCCCAAGATAGGAATTGCCACTCTGGTCTTAAGTACACCCAACAGTATGGTGCAGACCAAATTTGGTATTAGTCCTGTTGGCTCTACAAACAGTTATCAATTGTCTTATGCAGAGTCTAACTTTGCTGTGTATGTCAATATAAGTGCAATTACAACATGCCCTAATCCAAATTTTGACATAAACAGCTACCCACGATTTCCTTTGAAATGTACTACAGCTAGAGTTTATTCAGACACTTTCTAGTGAAGAAAGAATATTTTTATCTTCACTTGAGGTTGATGAGGATATACTAAACAAAATCGAAGCAGAAACAAGAGAGCAGGCAAGCACTGAGAGATGGAGTGATGAGAGACGGTTCAGGTTCACAGCCTCAAGGTTTCATCTGATTTCTAGAAGGCAGAGAAATCATAACACTTTTGCTACAGAAATTATGCATCCCAAGGAGTTTTCAAGTAGACATACTGCACATGGGAGAAAGTATGAAAG